ATCATCCTGAATTAAGGTAACCCCAAATTCAATGACAAGCACCAGTATGAGAAAGTAAGGTCATTCAGAGACACAGGTAAGAGGTGACAAGGGAAGCAGAGATTAAAGTGAGGAGGCCATAATCCCAGGAATGCCTGGAGCCCCCAGAAGCTGGGCAAGGCAAGGGCGGACCCTCTTCATAGTCGCTGGAGGAAGCAGGGCTGCCAATGCCCTCATTCAGGCTCCCAGCCTCCAGGAGAAAAATTTCCATGTGTTAAGTCACCCCATTTGTATAACCTGTGACACCAGCCCTAGGAACGCAACATGTGTAGCAAAGGAATGTCACAGATTCCTTTAAGGACCTAGACTGGGGTGGTTGTTGGGCAGGTCTTCGCGAGGGGCAGAGGAGGGCTGCAGTCAGATAAGAGGACGTGGTGATGGGATCAGGGGCCACGGGGAGAGGTGAAGGCATCACACTGCTGACTTTGAGATGGAGGAGGGACACGAGCTGGGAAGGCAGCCTGCCTCTGAAGCTGGAGGAAGAGGTGGCTCTACCAGCCTCTCCCAGGCTTCCCACCTCCAGAACCCAGGCAGCCACCAAGTTCATGGGGACCTGCTACAGCAACCACAGGGACTAACACACACACCTTCCAGGTGCTGTGGGCGGAAACAGGTCCTTTGTAGATCCAGAGTAAGCCATCATCAAGTGACTCCCTGACTGTCCCTGCCACCTCACCCACATGGTGTGGTACATGACATTATAGTGACAATCAGGATATGCGGGTCTGAGGGCCCTGGAAGGGATCCAACCCCCACATCCACTAGAGTGCAAGGAGTGGCACTGCCCTTCTACTTGCTGTTTCCTCGTGTGCAAACTCCAGGCCCTGATAGTTCCTAGCTTAAAGGCCCATGTGACAATGAAGTTAGTCAACAGTAATAATGTCCTTATTGTGTAGTACCTGGCACTTAATAAATGCTCAACCAGAGGTGCCTCTTTAATACTCATGTGCTGTTGAAAACTGCGAAGGGAACATGTCACATGCACTCCACCTTGGTAGCTCCTGGGGCTCTATATGCATTGCCCTCCACAAGCAGATGATCAAGACGTGTTACAGAATGGAATATCCCCAAGGGTCAGAAGAAGGTGGACCGCAGGCCAGGCTCATGTCTCCACCCATCGCCAAGTCCTATGGCTTTAGAGCTCTCTCCGCCTCTTTTTGAAGATTTCCAGTAACAGGAAATTCAGTGGAGATGCCCCCAAAGATGAGAAAGCCACTCATGCATGGTATCTCCTCCTACCTCCAGGAATCCCTGGCATTCATTTATTTGAATATTCAACCAACATTTACTTGTTCCAGACACTGTGCTCAGGGCTGGGAACAGCACAGACACACCCATAGATACTTCGGCCCTACAACCAAGTAGAGGTTAAGATTTGTAAACGTGATCATGGACATGCGTATGCTCCTGGATCTAAATTTGCACATCTATCAATGCAACATTGACATATGATGGCTCAAACACTTTGTGACTTCCTTTAGATGTACATTCTCATTCAATTATTCCCCAAATTCACACTGGGACTTCATCACACAGATTTAACAAACAGCAATCCAATTACACATGCTCAGAATAGCTGGGCTGCCACTGGATGAAACCTCCACCAGAAGACACAGAGAGTAAAAGGCAGCTGCCCATGTCCAGCTTACCTGGGCAACCCCCCCACACACACACCAGCATTTCCTTTAAACTAACCCTTGCCCTATGCCTGTGGCTTAAAGCAAGGAAAACATTTTTTTAATCAACTGTCTTTTGTACTTCCAAACCCCAGGTCTCCTCTAACGGGCTTTCCAGGACTATTTTGATTGTGGTTCATTCTACCTCTGTAGAAGGTAACTTTCCACCAAATCATTATTTTCCCCATTTGTAGATAAGGATCTGAGTTCACAGGAGTTAAGCAATTTGCCCAAGGTCTGGTGGTAAGGAAGGTGGAGTTAAGATCTGAACCCCATCCTCTGTCTGAATGCTTAACCAAAGGACTCACCACCTCTGCAGTCCTTCCTTTACTTTGAACTGAAAATGGTCCTTTTTAACTTCCACTTTAGGAATACACAAAGCACAAATCTCCCTTTTCCCTTGAAAGACTTAAAAGCGCCTTCACCACCTCACCCTGGGGCCTCTTCTTATCATCAGGCTAAACACTCGCCCTTGCTGTAGTCTTTCCTCCTGTGATTTGATTTCAAGAACCCTTGGCCACCCAGACATTCTTTGGCAGAACACAATCCAATTTTCTGGTGTCCTTTTAGGGCCTGAAGGATGACAGAATGCTCCTTTCTCTTTTTTGAGACCACAGTATGAGAAAAAACTCACTTTCATCTAAAATCTAAGATCGGAAAGCCAGCCTCCTCAGAATGACTTGAGGTGGCAAATGTCCCTCCACCTCCTTGGGGGAGACAAGAGGGAGTAGTGGGGACTGTGGTGAGCTGGGGGGTGCAGGCCTTACACAAAGGGTCTCCTCTATTCAACTCCAGGTGCAGCCCACGTGGGCCCAAGGCCCAGGACCACATGATCTCGTGATTTTTCATTAGAAACTGGAAATCCAAATTTCTGTGCCAATTTGTCCATTTTTACATGACCAGAATGATTAAAGAATAAAAGGCAGCCAGCCACGTGTATGTACACAATGCACGTACACACACATGCACACAGACACACACATTCTCAAGCCACATCCCCTACTTTTTTTTATTTTTAACTTCAGAGTAATTGTTGACTTAAAACTTGACATTTATCCCCTCCAATCTTGCCCAGTTAGGGTCAGGTTCCAGGTTTTTAAAATATTTATACCTTTAGATTCTGTCCTTCGAAAGTCATTCCATCCCAGGTTGAAGAAGCTAATTTGTGCATTGCCATAATTTGCATCTTCCTGGATTCCCACTTCCTTACCATCTCAATCCCAGACTCAGGCCACTGAACCCCCAGTGCATGAAGATCTTTGGGGACCCAGCGAACTCATCCTTAGGACCCCATGGTGTTCCCTGTGCTGTGAAGGAGAGGCTGAGCAGCAGCCCCACAGATGGAGGGGCTCTCTTGAGGGTACTAACAACTGTGCCAATGTCCAGGGCTGTCCCTGGGTTGAGGCTGAGGCCAGCACAGGGCTCTGTGGACACCTCCATCCATCTTAGAGTCACAGCAAAATTCACTACAAAAATTAAGAGTGAAGCCACAGGCTGTGCATCACAGCTGTCTAATTAAGTCTGGCCCACTGACACGAGCAGCAGGGACCGGCAGAGGACCTGTCCTACTGCAGGGCTGAGCTTGGTGATCTGTGGGCTCCATTTCACACCTAGAAGAGTAAACAATCATTTGCTAAAGAACTTGCTTTTTCATGAGGCTGCAATAGGCAAAACCTGTCCTCTTCCAAAACTGTATCTATCAGGAGGGACAGAGGATATTTTTGGTGGGATCCGTGAACTTGAACTTGAACTGGCCTCCCTCCAGTGGAGCTCTCCAGGCAGGAGAACAATGATCCTGTGTGGGGCTCCACAAGAGGCTCTCAAGAGGGGACTGAGGGCTTAAGGTACCCATTGAGGGGAGTCACTTGTCGGGGTCCGTGATGGCATAAGCACACGGAGCCATCTCCATTTACCAGTGTCTGCTCCTGCTTTCTGGAAGGCAGGGGATGATGAGGAGTGTGTGTGGCCAAAGGCACTTTGACCATGTTTTCATCCATGCACATGATCTCCTACGAGCACTTGGTCCCCTGAGCTGAGAAGGTAAGGCCTGGGCTTGTTCCATCTCCAGGCACCAGACAGGGCCGTGTATCCTGGTCTTAAGCTGGTCCAGCCTTCTTCTCATGAAGAATTAATGTTCCAAGCCCAGGAAACCACCGACACCAAGCTTGAGTTTCCTACAGACTCCTTATTTTTCACTAGATCTCACAAATACACCATTTCTTCTTTACTAAACTGTCTCTAGACCAAGACACAGCCTCCCGCAGGTCACACTGAGGAGAAATAAACCCCTCTGTGACCCTTTCTCCCTGGAGAACCCTGGAAGGCCTTCCTGTTGGCCATGAACAGTTTTGCTGAATGTCTGAACCAGAGCTGGGAGAAGGTGAGGAAGGGCAGGCCTGGGCATTGACATCTTCTCCTAAAACATGGGGACAGAGTGGACCCGAGGCCTCTCTTGGCACTTGGAGGAGGAAGGATCGTCCTCAAGACTGAAGTCCCTTCTCCCCAGGTCTTTGCTGCAAAAAGAAGCAGCAACCAATGTACTTAGAAAAAGTGGGCAGAAACACCCAATTTAGCAGTTCAAGGAGAACCCTGTGAAGACCGTGGAAAACTGAAAACATGGGTTGCTTCCTGGCAGAATTCGGAGTCAGAAGTGTAGCTAATTAGAATGAAGCACACAGTAAAATGTCCCTTGGACAGACTCCCCAACTGAGCTATGTGCCTCAGGTTATATTCAAATTAGGGCAGGTAGCACAGGATGAGCTATTAAAAAATTTAATAGTCACTTATTTTAATGTTACTAACAAAAATTTAGTACATCAGGCTCATGAGTTTTATTATCCTGTAATGAGACGAAATCTGTTTTTAAGTTTGAAACAGGGAGGCATTTATTAACACCACACGCCAACCAGCGGGGCCAACCAGCCTCTCCAAAACAGCGAGGCAGTTAAAGAAAATATATTTAGTAAATAAAATGATTGGGCACAGAGAGTTGGTACCAATTGAGATGGTATGGGAACTATTGATGCTAAGAGAACAGCACCCTATGAGTAAAGAGAGGGAGGAGGGGGAGGGAGATAGAACTGAGCGTGGGCACAGATTTGCCCTTGAGATTCAGGCTTGGCAGAGGGGAGCAGCTCGGCCACCCACAGATGCTGTCTGACCCAGGTGTCTCTGATTCAGCCGTTTGCTGCTTAGTGAGGTCACTCTGGCCCACAACCCTAGGAGCACAGGGTGCTCACCAGATATCCAGACTAGTACACAGTGAGCCATGAAAGCCACATGCACTTGGGAGACAGGCAGACGAAGCCATCACGTACCTTCACAATGTCCTCATCGGCCGACCTGCACTCCACAGCCTCTGACACGTCTACCACGGAACCGTCCTCTTGAACCCCCATGACTTTGACAGGGACCGAGACTGGCTTTCCGGTGAGAATGGCGGTGTTCAAACCCTCCGTGTCCTGAAGGAGAGAAGAGGTGCCAGTGAGCAAGCTTGGATCCCAGGGAGTGGGGTGAGGCCGGCCAGCACCGCCTCTGCCCTAAGAGCCTGCAGGGATGCAGCCATGTGAGGTGGGGTCCAGCCAGACTGATGGCCACACGGGCAGCCAGACCCTCTCCTGGCACCCAGCCTCTCGGGGAGCCCCGAGCTTCTCCCTCCTCCACCTCCTCCCACACTCTGCACCTCCTGCATCTGTCAGGCTCACACCGGCACAGGATTTCTCCCAGCATTCTCCAGGGCTCGGTCTGAGGGTCCTTTGTGTAATGATTGCCTGTTCTGGGCTTAGTAACACAGGAGCACACGCTTCATTTTTGTTTCAAATGAAGAAAGACAACAGCACAAAGAGCAAAGGAGAACTCGTCTCATCATAAACCTCTGCGCACCTGGGCTGGGCACCGTGGCCCCTCCCTAACCTCTCGGGACCCCAGAGATTCCCCTGCAAACCCTGATGACCCCTGGGGGCTCATGGGTTCTGTCTTCCTAATTCATCTCCATCTGTCAACTTCCTGCTGTCGCCTCTCCCAGCTCCCCTGACCTCCCAGCACCTCTGGCCTGGTCAGCTTTGCTGACCCCGGGGTTCTCCCTGGGTCTCTCTTCACAGGGCTCAAGATCTCCAACCCAGACTATCTCTTTGCCAGATCAAAACCCCTGGAAGGTGCCCTACTGTTCTTAAGGTAGGATCCCACTCACTGAGGAGGGCCACCTGGGCCTTGCCCACCTCCCTGTCCTTCTCCTGTCCCCTTCTCTCTGACCCCTGCACAGTCCAGCCTTCTCACAGTCTGGGCAGCTTCTGCCCCACGCTACCTCCCATGCAGAGGTTCCCTGGTCTGCAAACAGGGACAAACAAACCCCTACTCCACAGGGAGCTTATGGACATTGAACAGACCATCTGTGCCCACCTCAGGACAGAAGGTGCTGTAAGCACAGCCCTCCATGCAGCTGCTACAGTGGAGCTCAGAATGTTCACTCAACGAATGAGCTAAAGAGCCACCTCAAGGCTCACGCAGGGACCACGGTGGAGAAGCTACTTCCACACCAGGCTGGAGAAGAAGGCCAAGCAGACAGCCGGCCACAGCTGCACAACTCAGCTCAGCAGCGGAAGTCCACAGCATTGGCTCAGCTCCCACAGGAGGGTCCAACAGGCCATCGCCCATCACTCCTCTCCTCAGTCCCTGACTCAGCCCATGCACTAGGCAGGTCCCACACTCTGTGTCCTCAGTTGGCCCCTCCCACTCTCCATTCCAAACCAGGAGAGGGGCAAGAGAGGGGGCGGGCCTTGAATGACAACCACATTGGCCACTGAGACTGAGCTACTCGGAGACGGGCGGTGTTCTAAATGACTGGCATGCAAATAATCATCCTCTGTGTTTCCCCAACATAGTATGAGTTTTAGTACCATTTTATACATGATTTGCTTTGCAGTGATATTAAACCTGCAAATAATAGCTAATTTTCAAGAGAAAATATAAAATTTATAAGGAACACGTGGGAAAGGTGGCGGCCCAATCCAACAGGGTGGTAAGTCAATCTTCTTGTTTTGACATGTGTTCTTTCCTTGGTGTGAGGCTTTTTGTTTTGTTTTGTTTTGGTGCAAGGGATTCCACCAAGAGGTGCTTAACCACTGAGTCACAACCCCAGCCCTTTCTTTTTATTTTTTATTTTGAGACAGAGCATTTCACTAGGCTGCCTCCAGTCTCATTAAATTGCTGAGGCTGGCTTTGAACTTGTGATCCTCCTGCCTCAACCTCCTGAACCACAGGGATTGCAGGTGTGTACCACCACACCCAGCTTGGGATGGGGTCTTGAAAAGATAATTTCAAAATAATGTAAATAAGTTAAGCCTCTATAAAATCCTAAAGTAGGTCCCTACGTACCCTTGGCACACCGAGAGAGCAATTACCACGTCCAATATTATATCAAAACAATGATCTGGTAGCGGAAACTGCTAAACATCCACCATTGACCACAGAACAAGTCCTTTCTGCTCTGTCTGCGGAAGCCCCAGGTCTGATGCCTAGAGAGCATCTCCACACTCCTCTGTGGAAGGCCCCTCTGTCCCATGAGGGTGATACCAAGGGCAAAGTCACAGTGAAGCCATCGGAAAACACTCTTCTCCATAAAAGTCACAAGGAAACTGGCAAACGCTGTCAAAATAATGTTTCCTGGGCTCTGGAGATGCTCCAAACACTTTTACGACTGGGAGAGCATTTATACAAGAAATAGAGGGCCAGGTCCTGGTCAAACACAGAGACCTTGGTGGCATTTTAACTTGAGGCCACTCCCCCACTCTCCACCTCTGCCATGGCTTTGAAACATGACACCACCTTCTCAGTAAAAACCAGCAGTGTGGGCACCACAGGGAGGAGAACCCCACTGGAGACCCCCACACTGCCCGAGGTAGAACAAGACACCAAATACTGAACCCTGGTAAAGCTGCCCAATGTGACCCAGGGACCATCCATTGGAAACCTCCCTCCTCCTCATTCCCATCACTTTGGGAATGGTGATGAGGTGCCAAGTCACCATTTTATACAAAATGGACTTGTCCCCCACCAGTCACCATCGATTGGTCCAGATAAAGCATGTGGAATGGGGATGAAGAGATCTCAGTCTCTCTGACTCCTTTCCAGAAAGAAAGACATTAACTAAAGGGCAGTTGCTGGGCATTTCCTCCCAGCAGAGTGGCCAAGGCGGGAGGTGGAGAGGTGGGTGAAACACTGGCAGGGAGCAGGCTTCCTGCAGAGCTCAGGCAGGTGGCCCTTCACAGCCTTCGGATTCCAGGACACGTCATGGTCATGTCCTTGTCAAGAATTCACCTGCAGAGCAGCTTCCATGGGTCCTAGCTGGTTTCTGCTCTCACCAGAGTCATCCTTCCCCAAGGGCTCAACCATGCCAGTGTCCTTTGCTCCCTGAGTCCTGGTGGGGAAGACAGAGGAGCTGCACCCCAAGGCTCCAACTTTCCAAAATGACACCAAAGTCACTATGTCCTCAGTTTCTCAAATGCTTCACTTGACCAGCTGGAGAGGACACGGGATCCGGCACCCTTCCCTGGAGGCCCCACACCCATGGCAGGGGAGCAGGCCAGGTCGACAAGGATGCCCCTCAATTTACAGCCAGGAGATCTGTCTGCACCACAGACTTCCTAGTGGCCCCGGGCCAGCAATCATCTCTTCTGTAAAGTGGGCAGTAACATCCAACCTGGGCCAGAGCGGAAGAGCAGAGGCTCCCACAGGCACCGTTAGCCAAGCTGGACAGAGACAGGGAGGGTGAGAGAGAACCATGAGCCCCAGAGACCAAGACTGCCACAGAGATGGGGCACAGGAGCCAGAGAGGCGCAGGACCATGGAGGCTGGCTCTGCCCTTCTCCCAGCCTGCTTCCTTCTCCACTCCACCTCCAGGGGTCCTGTGCAGCCCATACCAGCTCTAACACTGACAGCAGCCACCTGTGCCTTCTCTCCTTCCCCTGATGGTCAGGCCGCTAATGACAGCGTAACCTGTCAACTATTTCTCTCTTGTCTGAAAAAACTCTCATCCAGTTTGAGCTGAATTCAAATTTAAAACAACTCCCAGTTGCCACCAGGCTAGCAAGCAAATGGCATCCGCTCCATTAAAACCTAAAATGTGGGCTGAGGTCACCAGTGAGGACACACTTAGTGTTGCTGAGACCTGGGCTTGCAGGGATAGCCTTACTTAAATATGAATGAACTCCCTGATAGTGCTGTGAACTGGCCAGGGCTTGGTGACTGCAGGAAGCAGGGGGAGCCCTGGAAGGAGGCTGCACTCATTGTCCATCCTTCAGTCAGGCCACTGGATGGATGGGTGGGTGGGTGGGTGGGTGGATGGATCCATGGTTTGGAAAGGAAGAGAGGGGAGGTGAGAGAGGTGGAAGAGTAGAGCAAGAAGGAACGAGGAAGGAGGGAGGGAAGATGGAGGGGAGAGGGAGACTATGGGCAAGCAAGTACGGTCCTAAAGAGAGAGAGAACAGACAGAGAGAGAGAGGGAGTGAGACAAAATGGGAAAGGACAAAGGGACCTGGACAAACTGGAGGGGACAAATCCAGAGAGCTAGCAGAGCCGCCAGGGGAGGCAGACCAACCGGGCTTGCAGACAGAAAGACAGAAAGAGACACCAAGGAGGAGCCAACCAGGAGACTGGGACCTCGCAAGCCAGAGGCCTTCTGCTCTAGAGAAGCCGAGAGGCAGGTGTGTGGACCGGCTGTCCCAGGTCAACCCACTGACCACTGTGTCCTGCAGAGGTTAGTCTGACGTGGCTGATCGGGGCCCAGCATGGAGCAGCACCTGACAGCACGGGGACACCAGGCAGAGTGCCCCTCAGCTGGGGAGGTCCAGTAAGGACCCAACACTCTGTTTCCCAAGGTCTCCTGGTGGGAAGCAGCTGATCTAAAAAGCCAGCTGTTGAGCAAACACTCGGGGGCTACCGGGTGCGCGAGTGAAAAGGATCAGAACAGAGCACTTGGACGCATACGGAGGACCGTGGGTGCCGCTTATGTCTCCCAGGCTTTATTCACATAATCCACAAACAAGTCTGTGAGGAGGAGCCAGAGCTCTGATTTTACAGATGAGAACACAGAGGCTCAAGGATCTCAGCCAAGGTAGGAAGACTGAGTGCTGCACCTGCCACCAGCGCCCAGAGCCCGGGGCTGCATCACCCCTGGGCAGTTCTGCTCCTTAAGAAAACCCACACCAGCACTGGAGCAACCAGAGACGTGGAGCCAGGTGTGAGGCGAGTCTCTGCATCTTGTTAGTCTTCAGAGAGGGTCTTTCTCAGCCCACCCCGCTCTCCGTTAGTTCTCCATGTCACCTGCTTTAGTCATCAGACTTGCCACAATCTGAAAGTTATCTGACCTGTTTGCCTGTCTCTTTAATCTGCCCGTCTCACT